ACCACTGAGCTAAAAAAACATGTCAGCCAAAATCAAGCTGAAATCATAGATGAACTAAGCCAACAAGTACCTGATAAGCGCGATCATTTGGAGAAAGTGTTACTGTTGGATGAACAACAACACGATAAATATGTGCTGGTATTGGCTTATTGTAAGTGCTTTCTTCCAACTCAAAGACATCTCTAAAAACCATTCCGAATTATTCTCGCACAGCACTGGCCCGCTAGCCATTAAAAAAGCGCTTAACGACAATGATATCATGCGTATTCTTGAAATTCTAAAGTGCAAGCTACCAAGATAGGCCGGATAATTGCTGTGGAGACTTGTTACTAGCGACTGGGATATACTTTGCACGTGGGTTACAGCTGTGCCAGGCCTTTCATTTCTGAACAGTAGTAGCATGCCTCTAGTTTCTATTGTTCGCCTATTCGATGTATGTGCACCATCCTCTCGGATGAAGTTGCGATCAATGATATCCAAGACAAAAGTCTTTTCTTTCCACGAAAATGCTGTACTGAAGATTCTGTTTGAGGTAACAACCAATGCGTGCATACTGCATACCACGAATGGGAGCTACAGGCCACAAGAAAGGAAAGCTAGCAGCATTCTGGTGCTTCGCATGTTTTGTTTTTTTTTTTTTTTTTCGTATTTTTCTACACTGCGACTCCTCAAAACTTATTAAAATCGCTTTTCGAGAAATTATTCTGACTGTGACAAATGTGTTATTTTGACGAATCGTCCGAAACACATCACCTATTCGGGACGGTGAGATCCTTTTCGACGAGATAATAACGATAACCCTCACGATTGAACGGAAAGTCGATTGGCGCAGCAATTCCGGCAATACGTGTTGATGCATAATCAGCAGTTCTGAAACAAAAAAAAACTAGTGCAAAAACTCTTTGGACTATCGCAAAATAAATTTTAATCCAATTCTTCCCCCGACAAAAGAATCAAATTTCAAAACCACTATAGGATTTTACCAGTGATGAGATGCCTCGGTCTAACGTTCAATGTTACTCTTAAGCAGTTGCCGAAAGAAGAAATCGCTAAAAAAATGAAGTATGTGTTCCCCCATAACCAGAAAACACGTCGACGAAACAAAAGCCGAACAAAATAACGAAATGAACTGTTGTTCGGCTGCATTCTCCGCACGTGGCCTCTGTGAGTGGCAACAGTGCAATCATCTCCTACACCCTTAAGTTTCAGCGCGAGAATTAGCAAACTGACAAGAACCGAAACATACACTTTTGTTTTTTTCAGCGAACTGGAAGTATCGACATTGCGTCTTTTCGATGAGCCCCTCGTTTTTGGGCCGTCCCCGGTCTCGTCCACTTTGTCAAAATTCTCTTTTGAGGACTCACGCGCTGAGCTTGCTGCTGGTGGTTTACTCCGACCAATCTGCACAAACAAAAAAGCGCTATATTTTTGTGAACAAATCGAAATACCGACTAAAAAGAAGTAAGAAAGACAAAATGAGAAATTACAGCTTATTTAAACATTCAGAACGCCTAGATCTGTGGACGGAAGGCTTTTGGCATCGTTGAAATGCACAGGCCATAGCACATCGCTTTTAGGCATGGAATGAGCAGCTACGGAATGAGATGGGACACAGCGTGGGCACCAAAAACTACCACCACGTAAAGAGGGAGAAAACCAACCCCTAACTGCATGCCCTAGCCCTCTCCCTGCTCCCTTCTCTTTCCCATCCCGCAAATTGTTTGCTGCCAGCTTGCCTTGTTCTGGATTGCCCCTTATATTCACTGGAATCACCCAGAATTTCGCTACCCGCTTCCGATGTGATTCACTTATTTCAGGAGATATCAACTTCTCTCCCGAGCTCAACAGTTAAACAGGGTAACGTAAAAAACACGTACTAACATAACGAGTCTCTTTTGCAGAAATATCAACTGCGACGGAACCATAAGCATTTTGAGTTCTTCTGCTTACAGAAAAAATCAGTCTTTTATCGTTTTTTCTTGCCGCCTTTTGAGATGCCCCTACACAGGTTTCTTATTCCTACCGCTTTTTGAGATATCCCTACACAGAGGATCAAAACCAATTCTTGTATGCCCGTTTTCTCTTGCGAACATCACTCACTGAATGAGCAGTGTTCAGTAGTTGCATGCGTTTCGTTTAGATTCGAAAAAAAGAAATAACGGAACGTGAAGTAAACACCTGTTTCAATGCCTCATGGCTTGGCCCGATCGCTGAGAGATCATGTTCACGAAGTGCAAACATTTGTCCATCGTCACTCGACACAAATAATTCCGTTTCTTTGGCCAATGATTTTTGCAACGTTTGATGCCAAGTATTTTTCACACTACAAATATTTCAAGCCAAATTGACGAATAAAGGGATACTGATGAACAAGCTTTAGGTGTTTTAATAATCTTTATAACGGTAGCTAGTAAAAAAAAAGCTGGCAGGCTTGGCTGCAATGGCTACCCTGCGAACCGAAATCAAGAGTCTGTCTTCACCACTGTAACTGATATATATATTTGCACGACTTTTTTATTCATTAATCGTTCATCACGCTCATTTCATCGGTAAATTGGTACTGGCATATATCAGTCAGTTAGAATTAACATCGCGAAAAAAACTTCGCTCTATCGACACGTTTTGCAAGCGATCAATGCTGATGAAAACGCTCGCATTCGGACTTTCTTTGGGTTGAAACTTGCAGAGACAGTTTCTTTGTTGACCACCAAGAACTGCGTCGAAAGATGGAGCCATCAACAGTCCTGTTAGTGGGTAGCTGTTAGCACTTGTTACCACTTGCAGTATTCGAGTGACTGCACCTTTCCTGTACAACCAGTACAGAGAGGTTTTAGATTTTGAAAAAAAAAAAAACTGCTTGTGTGAGGAATATGAACAAGCAAATAATAATACTTAAGCATTTTTATTCTACAGCCCAAAAAAATGAACTTGTTTAGCTGCATATTCATAGCTACACAATTTGTTTGCAAGAAAAAAGAAGCATAAAAAATTAAAAAGGCAAATTAAAACATTACCGCCGAGACATGGATGTGAGATTTTCCCACTGTGCATTGAAATAGGGTATTATCTCATTTTCCAAGTTAAAAAATATCAGCTGCTGATTGCTATCAGTCATATCATCCTCTCCGCCATCTGCTCTTTTTGTTCGTGCATTGTGTGTAAGATTTGCAAGCACCGTTACGCACATATGAGCAAAATCTGCAACAATACTGCCTTTGCAAAAACTCATCAAACATCGTTTCGTCACCGCGCTACTACTGACATATTATTAATCGCCTATACAAATCGCAAAAATTTAATAAAATATTCCTCAAAATACAGAAGCCAATTTTAAACAGTGCAATAACTCTGTGCCACCACAATGCACAGAGATTAGAGAATATCCTTGCAAAGTTTCAGCTCTTTATCCCGCCTGGTTCCAGACTGGCCTAAATTCGAAAAATGAATCTCCGTGCAATGCACTCCAACTGTTTCTTTGTTTTGTCCATCAGAGTTCGAAAATACTTTTACAAGTGTCTGTGGAAGCGAGAATTCATAAGATTAAAGCTTTTTCTCAAGACAAACACAGCTTTGCTCATTATTGCTCAAAATAAGTGCAATAAAGCAGTATTTTCTCGTTACTTGCTTGCTTTGGTGTCCACGTTTCTTTTTTCGATGAGCTACAATCGGCGCAATTGAACACGTAACATACCATAAACGGCAATCCATAGCTGAAAAATATATCAAATTTTTAGCAAATTCATACAACCAACTAATTTCCTGTCAAATTCATATCTCGTATTTGAAACAAATCGGTCAATTAGCTTACAATTAGATAGTATAGGCCAATTCCCATGTGGTAAAAGGTAAGGGCCGAGAAGGCCGAACCAAAAATGGATGGTCCAAGTAAGGGGCGACCGAAGAGGGTGAAACTGTCAAGGGGTTTTTTGCGGGCGCTGGTAAGCCAGCCCATACCTTCCCCGAAATAGCGGTCCGTACAAGCCGCAGAAAACAGGGAGCAGCCGAAATGATGCCTAACAAAGTTTGCGGGCAACAGCAATATTTCTGGCTCTACAATAACCAGTCTCGTCCTAGTAATCAGTGGTCGTAGATACACGTCTACAGAAGTGATCAGAAGGATACCCCGTCCCCCCCCCCCCCCCCCCCCCCCCCCCC